TTACTTTAAAAAACTAGTTACCCAGTGAGAAAAACAAGGCCTCAAACGGGTAATCAACATGCTTGCAGCAAACTTGTAGAAGAGTCCAGTTTTAGCACACACTCCCCACCCTCCTTCTTTGGACATTAATTCTATTTGCTGAACTTCAGTGAGAGTTTTCCTTAAATTTCCAGAAAGTGCTCACTTTCTAGCTTAGCATAAAACCAAAAAGCTTGTGTGCGGGAAAGTGCTGCCCACCTTTAGAATAGGGAAATCTCTTGCTTGTAGATTCTGTGTTTGGATGTGGTTTCTTTAACTCGGCACCCAGAGCACTGCTTCTGGATCACGTTACAGGGGCTCTTCTGTTTCAAGGACTGCAATAGCCCAAACAGCAACAGGAGACGAGAGGCGTCTGCACAGAGAGCTGTCCCACTGAAGTTAGAATCCATCGCTTCCGTGGTTCTGTCACTTAGTTGACCTCCTGTTGGAAGAGACTGACGGGCGGTTTTTCTACATCTTTTTCTTTAGCGGTGCTGGGTACTCTTCATTGTTGCCATTCAGAGTCAACGTGCTGACCTTACTCATTTTGGCAGAGAACCTTGTTGCGAGATAAGGTTTGAAAATATTTTCCCCCCAGCATCGTTGCTCATGCCTAGAAAATATTTCCACTGATAACTGCAAGCTCTTGTGTGCATAGGGAGGTTAGCCAGCTTGACAGAAATTAGGTGGGGGAAGGAGGGAGAGGAGAGAAGCGGTTTTATTTAAAAAAATCCAATCCTCTAGAAAAACCAGGAATCCAAAGACATGTAACGTAGTCTTTATCAGGGAAGCTAGGGCAAACAAAATGAAATCAGATATATTTGTTTAGGAAGGACAGGGAGCTATTGCTTTCTTTATTTTAAAAACATATTATTCAAACTTTAAAACTGCTCAGATACTTTAGTTCCCAGTTCTTTTCTTTAATAAAATTTTAAAAGTAAAAACTCTGGAACATTAGCTTACTTATCATTTAGAGTCTTTCCATTAAACAGGTTCTTTTTTAGATCTTTAAAATGGTATTAATAGTTTCCCAAAGTAATGGGGAAAAAAGTACTTTGTGCTAGACCACGTTTCAAAGTACTTTGTTAACCAGTTCAATCGCCACAATAGTGCTATGAGGTAGGTGCTATTATTATCCCTGTTTTATATACAGAGAAACTGAGAAACAGAGAGAGAAACCTGCCCAGGGTCTCACAGCTAGGGTGTGGCAGTGCTGGGACTCAGATCCAAGATATCCAGCCTTGGAGCCCCTGCTCTGAATCACTGCACACGTCTAGGGCTCTTGTGACTGCATGTGCGCACAGATCAACTGGAGGTGAGGACGATGGTGACGGTATTGTGGGTAATAGAACATTATTTGTCGAACACTTACTTATATATTAAAACCTTTACATAGGTTTTCTATACCACAACCCTGTGGGGAGATGACATTACATCCACTTTATAGATTGGTAAACTGAGGCTTAATGAGGGCAATAAGTGATTTGCACCAGCTCTCACAGCTGGTGTGCTGTGCCTGTCACGGAGAATCGTAATTGTAGCTGGGTGTGTCTGCCTCTGACCCCTGTTCCGAGCCTTCAAACCGCACTGCCTCTCCTGCGCTTGTTTGTGAGCTGTCATGCTGTGATATTCCTACATGGTAATAAGACATACAACATCAGCAGTGCTCCTCATTAAGTGATCAGTCACGTTGGCCACTGGTGGTATTTGGGGTAGGGTCAGGGGGGTGGAAAGCAGTTGGAAGAGAAAACCATATTAGCCCTATTCTTCCCCCTCCCTAAGAGAAGAAAACAATCCTTCCTGCAGACTTCTCTCCAAAAAACCACCACTCTGAGCTTCCACTAGTTCGTTTTGCTTTAAGCACCATACACAGAGAAAGTTTTCAAATGCAGTGTGTAGATAGGAAGCCCAGAACTTAGGCCCACGTTGATGAGCACACTGGCAATTGACCACGAGATTGTTTCTCCAGACCCCTCAATGAGAACTTCCTTGTCTGTCTTCTATATTTAAATTACATCTCCTTTTCTATCCACTCCCTCTTGAAACAGTGTAGGAGCAGAGTTCCCACATGGCTTAAACATACAATATGCACAACATTTTGCACATAAGCGCACCCTGTGATTTGGAGCATTCTCTGTGTGTTTGTCTCCAACTCCCTTCTTCCCCCGCTCCCCCGTGGGCTTTTTCCCCCATTAGGCAAATGGAAGGCCCATGCCACCTGTTAGCATTACATCATTGGCTCCGCAGAACACAGTTGCAGCAAAGGCCTAAACAAAGTAGTTCTTCTTGTATTGTTTGCACTCAAAGAGCTGATATCATGCCAACTGATGTCATTGTATGTCTTTGTGTAACTGCTATGGCAACTGGGCAGGTGGGGAGCCTCCAGCTGATGTCATGGGGAAAGGAGGTATAGAGACAGAATTTTAAAAAGCTGTGCGCTGCTTTTTTCTGTGTGTGGGGTTTTCTGGCATGCATTTTTTTTTTTTTTATAACTAGCTGCTTTTAAGACAAATTACAGCATAAGTACCCTAAATAAGAACTGAGAGAAGTTTGGTGCTTTTTTTTTCTTTCCCTCTTAGAAACTTCTTTGAGTTTGTTTTGTTGTTCTTTCTTCTCATCTTATATGGAAAAATGTAACAACTGCCTTTTTCTTAAGAAAAAAGTGGATTAGGTTCCCATTACAGAATCTGTGTGGAACTGTTTACTTGGATTTTTGTGGAGGCCAAGCTGAAAGATTTTTAAAATAACTCTTTAGGGTTCCTTTTGTGGAGCCTATGATGGGGGCAATGGGTAGTTTTTATTTTATTTATTTTTTAAGTATTCACTGGTAAAGTTTTTCTGGTTTTCCATTTTTCTTTTGACTTGAAAAACTATTTCTTTGGGCCCAAACTTTATTATCATAATTTCCTAGCAGAAGAAACTAATAATATGTAAGGGAATATTTGAATTCTAGAAATCAATTAAAATGTATATATAGCTCTTGTTTTTCTTTTCATGAGCAAAGATAGATTTTGACTTTACTAATTTTTATGAGTAAAGTGATCATATTATGCTGAATTTTCTTTAGATCCTTACCACACCTTAAGGAAAATATGGCTGATCTCTTTTACAGGATGGGCTCTGGGTCCACCTGCTGTGAACAGTCAGAGACTGGGTCTAGGTTACAGTCTGGGCTTCCTGCTGTGGTTGCCAAAGACTAGACTTGAAATGGAGAAGAACATTTGTTAGGTTCAGAAACTCGTGGACAGATAGACTTCCTGTCCTTATTTCAACATAGCCGCATTCTGTTCACACTTTGTACTTTCTGTCTTATCTCCTAGAACTATCAAGACAGCCATAAGGCATCTGTCTTTCGGGGCACATGTCCCGTTCTGGCGGCTGTCAGCTAAGGGGCGTTTTCCAACTTCCCCTTCTTTTCAAAGGGAAGGCCAGAGTGTATCTGGTTCTATTTGATTAGAATTAGAGCCCGGTTGGTGGTGACAACGTCAACCCAGACTTCACAGCCCTTAACGTGTGTATGGTGTAATTGGAGCCTCAATCCTTTGGGCTTGTCCATGTGTGTGATCACTTGTAACAAATATTAAAGGAAAATTTGAACAATAAACTGTGACCCATAAATTCCCTAACTTTGACAATGTTTTTTTGCATAGTCCTTCAGCTTTTGGTGAATATTTTTGAATTAGCTTCTTTTAAATTTAATATTAAACATTTTTTTTTTGTTTTCACACACTTTTTACAACTACTGCTTTAATGGTTATATAATATTCCACGTCGAATGTAATAACTTCTTCTTTGCTTTTTTTCCATTTTAATTTATTTTTGTTTTTCACTTGGCCTTTTCCATAAAGCAGATATTGCTGTAGTGAACAGTCTTCACATATCTGGCTGAATATTTTTGGTTAGAAGATTTCCCTAAGATCCATTCCCATAAGTGAGACTGTACTTGTTCAGGGGAAGGTTTGCATTTGAAAAATGGGGAAACAAGCAGAGTTTAAGCTTTTCATGCTAGACCCATAAGTCTTGGGAGGCAGCAAGCTTAAGCTTTGACCTTAAGCTCAAAGGTATACCTTCATAGATCCATTAAAGGTTTCCTGATGGGTTTACGTGACACAAACCTTGGAAAGTCAAGTATAAGGGACCAGGCTGCTCTCAGATTCCATTCAACTGGAAGAAGTCAGGGTTGACAAATGTCAGGGACCTACATGGGGAACATAAAAAAAAGAGATCATGATGACAACTCACCCCACTCCATTCTAGCTTGTCCTTCCCAAGTATTTCTCTGTTGCTTTTACTCGTGGGCAATCATGTAAATAATATTAGTAACAACAGCTAATACTTGCTGAGCACTGCCGTGTGCCGGGAAACATGCTAAGCATCTTGCGCGTATTCATTCTTCTCAGACTCACGATCGGATTCAGAGCTAGATGCCATTACCCTCATTTTACAGAGGGGGGAACTGAGGCACAGAGAGATAAATTAACTTGCCCAATTCACAAAGCGGGGAAGTGGTGGTGCTCAGATTACAGATAAAGTAATCTGGCTCTTCCAAGCTCCCTGTTTGTAACCCCCCTGCTGTGTTGGGAGCAAACGTGGCCCTTCGGTAGGGTGAGCTAGGAAGGGTGCAACGCACGTGCCTGCAGTGCTGAGGGGACCTCTGTGCTCCCCTCTGCTTCCAACTGCCAGCTTCTCTGTAGGCCACTGAGCACATGGCTCTTTGAGGCAGATCAAATCTACAGCTGATGAGATCACCTGATGCCGCAAGGAGCGCTTTCCAGGGGAACACGCCCTGTTTGTGTAAGGAGCACACGCTTCCAGCGCCCTCCAGGCAGTGAGACCCTCCAAAGCTTGTCTTGGGTCTCCAAATGGACTTTCATTTTTTGTTTGGCATAAGCAACACTGCACACTCATTGCTACAGGGAAGATGGCATTTTCTGCTAGCTCTGGAGCCTTAGTTACTACGGCTTTCTCTGTTTGTGTTCCAGGTGGGCTTAGTAGTTTTAAGCAGAACCACGAAAACCTCTGTGACAACTCCCTCCAGCTCCAAGAGTGCTGCGAGGTGGGGGGCGGCGCGTCTGCGGCCTTAAGCTTGCTACCTCAGTCCATCCCCACCACCCCCGACATCGAGAACGCAGAGCTCACGCCCATCTTGCCCTTCCTGTTCCTTGGCAATGAGCAGGATGCCCAGGACCTGGACACCATGCAGCAGCTGAACATCGGCTATGTCATCAACGTCACCACTCACCTTCCCCTCTACCACTATGAGAAAGGCCTGTTCAACTACAAGCGGCTGCCGGCCACCGACAGCAACAAGCAGAACCTGCGGCAGTACTTTGAAGAGGCTTTTGAGTTCATTGGTAACTGTCTTCCTGGGGAGTTTCTCATCCTTCCCATTACTTTCCCCTCGGGCTCTTGCTTTCATATTAAGTTCAAGGTTTATTCATGTGTTGCAGAAAAAGCTGCTCTGGGGTGTTTCCGAGTCTGCTACCTGCTGCAGCCTAAATACTCCCCTAAGTCATAACCGGTTGAGTGTGTTGGAGCTGTCAGGGTTGATACAAAAGAACAGTTACTGAATTTGGTTGGAATCCATTCAATTAGAATCCTCATTCTTCAAGTTCTCAGGCTGGGTGCAGTGGCTCACACCTGTAATACTAGCGCTCTGGGAGGCTGAGACAGGAGGATGGCTCGAGGCCAGGAGTTCGAGACCAGCCTGAGCACCATAGCAAGCCCTTGTCTCTACAAAAAACACAAAAATTGGCTGCATGTGGTGGCGCACACCTGTAGTCCCAGCTACTCGGGAGGCTGAGGCAGGGAGATCACTTAAACCCAGGAGTCTGAGGCTGCAGCGAGCTATGATGATACCACTGCACTCTAGCCAGGGCGACAGAGTGAGACCCTATCTTGGGTGGGTGGGGGATGGGAGGAGAGAAGGGGGAGAAAGAATTTCCTCAGGCAGTGCCCACAAGCTATTCTCCTGGGCTTTTAATATATCTGAAAATTTCGAAAGTCTTTCCTCTTTTAAGTGCTTTGGATTCTGAGCCATTGCTGGAATTCCTTCATCTTCTGCATCATTGCCATGTTGGACTATCATACGTGGGTGCAAAAGGGGTCGAATACTTGAGCGGTTACACCCTGGGCCTTCATACTACAAGTCTTTAGTTAACTTTGCAACAATTGGCTTTTCTGGTGAGAAACTGAATATAGTAACTTTTTAGTTGAATTTTGTTCCTTTAGCTTTGATCAGGGCTTAGAAAGATTGCAAAACTCTTATCCATTTAATACCAGTCCCTATACAGGGCAATTCTGTAGTATAAGGAAAGAAATGTGCTTTTTCTCTGACACAGAAATATTGTTAATGACACTAGTTTTGATAAGTCACACAATCTGGCAATTGAGATTAACATCTTTAATCAGAAGAAAAATTATATATAAACATATGTATATGTGTGTATGTATATATTTATGTGTGTGTTTACTTTATTCCCTTCCTTCATTTTTTTCTTTTTTTTCTTCAGTAGTATGAGTCCAGAAAAAAGAAAAGACAAGAAGACATTTGAGAGAGAGCCTCAGTAGCTTAATCAGTAACTGGCTCATGTGGAAGTCAGCCGTGTTAGAGGTCTAGCTTTGGGGCAATGCCATCCCGTGAAGCAAACCGTTCCTATGAGCGATTCCTTCACTTAGTCTTCTCTTTAAATGTAGACATAAAGCTTCTTACTCATGCTAATATTGATTTTAGCCAATATTCTGAAAGTTGTGACATAAAACATGTAATTAACTGGTTGTTTATTCTTGGTTTTAAAACCATTTTAATTCCTTCTTTCTCTGCAAAATAAAACATTGTCAAGTTTAGATGAAAGTTTCTTTTTCCGTCCATTGCTCTTTCTTCTTCCCTTCACCTCCTGCCTGTCTTTTTTTTCCAGAGGAAGCGCACCAGTGTGGGAAGGCGCTTCTCATCCACTGCCAGGCCGGGGTGTCCCGCTCCGCCACCATCGTCATCGCTTACTTGATGAAGCACACTCGGATGACCATGACTGACGCTTACAAATTTGTCAAAGGCAAACGACCAATTATCTCCCCAAACCTTAACTTCATGGGGCAATTGCTGGAGTTTGAGGAAGACCTGAACAACGGTGTGACACCGCGAATTCTTACACCAAAGCTGGCGGGCGTGGAGACGGTTGTGTGACAGAGGACAGGCTCACTGCTCTCCGATGGGAGGCCAGCAGGGAGGAGGACAGTTCTGCTTTTTCTTTTTCTTTATTGTTTTTTTTTGGGGGGGTGGGGGTATAAAGTTTGTGAATGGAAACAAACTTGTTTGAAAACTTTTTATTTTTAACAAGTGTGAGAAGACTATAACTTTTGATGCCATTGAGATTTCCTTTCCACAAACAGATATAGCAGGGAGGCTAAAGAAGCAATTTTTTTAGACAGTAAAACTTGTTTCTCCCCCTTTTCCTTTTAAGCTATTTGTAGAGTTTATGACTAAATAGTCTGTGCAGGTTCATAGACCGAAGATACTACACTTTAAACCAACTAAAAAGAACCAAAAGTAAATAGAGAAGACATTGAATCGTGAAGTCCTGGGATCCACCTGGGCCAAACCCAACCAGACCAAGTCCTGTTGTGCTCACTGTGCAACGAGAAGATCAGGGCAGCTTAAGTGGTCTAAGAATCCTTCAGACACTCATTAAAGAGACAGAGGATATTGTGGATTTTGTGTGTTTCATGCTCTGGATTTTTTTTTTTTAACTTCTCTGGGTTTAAGAGATTTTTTGAAATAGAAAGAAATTGGCCATTCTACAGTATGCTTTCACTCACTGGCTTCTTGTGCAATAATGTGGTGTTTTGAGTGTGCAAACAAGTTAGAGCTGGCAGCTGAGTGATAGACAGATAGTGCAACTTTGCCAGCTTGGAGATAGAAAGGAATTCAACAATGTACCAATTTACTTTCCTTCCCACCTTTTTCCTTTTTTTTTTTGATTTGATTCTTGTTACAGTGCCATAAACTTTGTTACATATGTATATCAGAATGTAAAAAAAGACAAAAATTTATTTAAAAATATTTTTCGCAAAAAACACAAAAAACTTGGTCTGTTTCTATTGATTGTGTAAAAATTTATTTTCATTATATAAGTGAAACTCATTTGGGGATGTGTCTTTTTCTTCCCCTCCTCTTTTACCTCCACCCAGGTTCAAGCCTCTGTTTCCTCTGGTAACTCGGATATGTAACATAATTGGAAATAAAACACACATTTTTATACAGGGAAAGGGAGATCCAGGGAATCCAGATCCATATCCTCTGTTCTCACTGTGGAGCAGAGAGAATTAGCAAGGAAGGGAAAGAGCTCCAGTATTCATCTGCTGGGCACGACCCCCTCTTTGCTCACAACATGTCATCCTCTTCTGCAAGTATAATTCCTCTTCCATTGGAAAGTCTCAGGTGACACTGAAGGGTGTGAGGGGTCCCCATTAGCCTTTGAGCCTTGGTGACCAAATGCACTGCCATATTGATTGGTTAAAATTCATTGATCTCCCCAATGGCTATTTGATAAATATTTGTGACAATCTGCCATTTAGGGGTCTTGATGGTTCCCCACCCCTCCTTTGCCACTTGCTCACAAGACGTTTTTGGTGACATTAACCATGGTAGTGCGTTGCAGCGAATTGCCATTGCCTGCTGTTTCTCCAGCAAACTGAACTCAGCTTTGTATGTATAGCTTCCTCAAGATAACACTTGCTGATTATCATACATAGCTGGCTTCCCAATTCATACATGACGTGGGGTGGGCCAGGGGAAGAATACAATACAAACATTTTCTGTGTAATTAAAATACATGTCTAGAGGGACCTGGCCATAGGGAAGATGCGTAGCAAACTGAAATTTGCCTGGGGTGAATAAAAGAGTTGAAAAATCTGGAATTTCCAATCCTATATGACTACAATTTGACATAAATATTTTTTTTGTGTGTTTGCTTACAAATGTTAGAAGGAAATATTTTTGGCATTTATTTTTTTAAATAGCTTTTCTACTAAAAGTCATTTAAATTTTACTTTTACTTCAAAACTGGAGACTGCATTTAGCAGGAATTAACTGAGAGCTGTTTTGGATTATTTTAGTTTAATACAAAGTGTTAATCAAGTGAAAAGTAAATCTCTGCTGCCATGCTTTCTACCTTTCAGACTGACAATTTCCTTGATGCTAGAGTTTATTTAAGGAGTCAGGTTGAAATATAATTAGTGATTTAAAATACGTGGTAATTTAACAGACATTCTTTTTGTTATTCTAAGTCTAAATGTTAAATTTCTAATAGCCTATAAGGTTTATTCCCTCCCTCCCTTCTGTTCTCCCTCCCTTGTTCCTTCCTTCCTTCCTTCCTTTTTCTTTATTTCTAAACAAAACAAGGAGAAAATCAATATAGTTTCTCCTCTTTGGCTACACGGAAATGATCTATGTTTTTAGAAGTTTATGATTTGGGGAGAAAATCTATCCTGGGGCCGACAGGGATCCTGCCAACCAGAATACCAAGAATTCTGAGAGGGACTCAGATCTTTTCTACTCATCTGCTTTGAGTCAGCCTCCATTTCTTCCTAAGGAATGTTAACCACCTCGTGAAAGTCATGTGGATTAACCAAGCCATAGCTCCAGAAACCAGACTCCCCAGGTTTCTGGGCCTCGGTAGGTACCTGGGAGCTTTAGAGCTGAGCTAGGAGATAATTATATCTTCCCAAGAAGGCAGAGTATCTGACCAACGCATGCATCATTCTCAGAATCCATCAAGGGTTGTTTTATGCTGAATGAATTTAATTAATAGAATGAATCTGAGATATATTTAATAAAAAAAACCCAGATATAGCAGGCATTGTTATCTTAAGTTGACCAGAACACCAGCTCCGGCTCTTCTGTGTACAGTGCATTTCTCTCAGTAGCTGATACTTCTCCATTCAATGCATAATAACCAGGATAGAGGTTTCACATACTTTTGGATGAGGATGAGCAGGGCAGGGCAGGAGTTTGGGCAGGGACGTTGACACATGGAGGACAAGGACACGGAGAGGGATGGTAGAAGAATGTGCACAATCCAGCAGTGATGTTTTACTGGCAGTAAAATGGTGATGAAATATGAGGAATGGGACAAAATGGGAGTCTAGAGTGAAAAAAAGAAGACGAAGAAACCTACGTCTGAGTAAAGGACTAGGACCAGGATCACACTCCAGAAGCGGAATAAGATAGAATGCTAATAAATTCTTCTAGCTAGATCTTCGGAAGGTAAGAAGTCTGGCAAGCCAAAGTAATCAATTAATCAAGACTTCACCTTGTTTGGGGATGGGCTCTTGTAAATAAGCCACAGCACAACCATGAAGCCTCCAATCTCGGGAAACATGGGTTGCTGTTTGATTTCAAGCTCCGATTGGAGACAGTGATTGTATGTGGATGGGGTGAGGGGCAGGGTGGTAGAAAATGACTGTTAAGCTATTAAGCACTGGTGCCCAGAAGGATGGGCAACAATTATTTAGAAAAAGAGTGTACAAAATTACACCTGAGTATAGAAGATTTCCTGCCTTTTGGAGGTGATAGAATATGAATACCAGTGCTTCCCATTGCTCCCAGTTTCCTCGTCTGTGACAACTTTTGTCAGTTTTTGGTGCAAGGTACACGTATCAGGGTTTGATCAGAACCAGAAACACGAATCATATAGAAAGGGGTTTATTCAGGATTAGACCTCAGACAGTTGTGGAATCTCATGAAGAAGTCAATGGAGTGAGCGTTGCCTCCATCTGCTAATGGGCTGAACTCTCCGTGGACAGGTAGGAGAGAAATTGGGCGTGATGTGGAGGGGAGCAAAAAAGAACTGGAATTAGGAAACTTTTACCAACCTTGATGGGGTGACTCGGAAGAGGACCTAGTGCCCTTTGCCCCGGAGCTGAGCACGCACCTAGTGTAGGACTTAGCAAAGCTGAGGGCAGAACTTTAGGGTCTGCAATCACTGCTGCTTCGCTAAGTCAAGGTGAGCCGCTGGGTCGGTGAAAATGCGCACTAGCCCTCATAGCGCTTGGCGCCCCCTTTGAAGAGCTGCTACTATAATTCTGCTTTTCCAACCTTCTGCAAATTTCCCTTAAGGCTAACCTTAACCCAGTACAAAACAAGTGAGGGAATTCTGGAAAATGTAACTCCTCATTTAGCTAAGTTGATAATGAACGAACCTATCCCAGTCCGTCACTTGCTGAGTTGGCATCCACCATGTACACGTCTTTTAACCGAACATAACTTTGAAATGAAGACATTAGCAAAATGATACTTCTACCTAACAAGATGCAAGTATCACTTCTACAGATGAAAACATACCCTCTCCCCAACAGAGGATGCATAGATAGCCCCAATCTGTTACTTTATCAATTTTGGGATGGTGTTCAGTCCTCTTCCAGCAGAGATCCACTTTCCCTTTGATGTCATGTAATTTAAATATACTGAAATGTAAGGATGTTATAAGTTGAACTGTGTCTGCCAAAAAGATATGTTTAAGTCCTAAACCCTGGGCCTTGTAAGTATGATCTTATTTTGAAATGGGGTCTTTCAGTAAACATTTTCAGTAAAGAGCCAGATAATAAATATTTTGACTCTGAAGAACAGATGGTCTCTGCCACAACTGCCCAAATCTGCCACAACTACCCAAAAGCAGCCATAGATAAAATGTAAATGAATGAAATTAACTACATTCTAATAAAACTTTATTTACAAAAATCCAGCAGTCTGGATTTGGCCCATGGGCTGTAATTTGTTAACTCCTGGTCTTTATTAACAGGCATAGAGAAACAAGCAATTGCCAACTCAATAGCTCCTTGCCCGGTGCCAGGAGCCATGTTGATTTGTTCCACCAGTGAAACTGCATTGGGAGCAACAGTTGTAATTGGAGCCAACATCTGACTGTGATCCATTGTCATTCTTCAAAATTCATCTGTGTTCTGCATAAGGCAAATAGGCAAAATAAATGGGGAATATGGTAGGAATCTGCATCCTTGAATTTTGTTTCGGTCCCTGTTGGTAGCACTAATCTCCACAATCCTTTAGGAGTTCAATATTCCTTTGGTTTACTATTTTGGCATGTAGCTTTTGCTGTATAACAAACTACTGCAAAATTTAGTGGCTTAAAATAATAAAAATTGTTTGTCTTGTTCATTAGTCTGTTACAGGCAAGTTCAATAGAGACAGCTCATCTCTGATAAACTCATGAAGGTAAGAAATGTCATCTGGGGCAGCCTGACTGGGGCTAGAGAATCTATTTCCAAGAGGGCTTGCTCAAATGATTGGCATGCGCTTCTTGTAATGGACGTGGAACTCAGCCAAGGTTGTCCCCCGTATATACGTTGGCTTTTCTCCACATAGACCTCTTCATGGAGATGCTTGGGCTTCCTCAAAACACGGCAGCTAGTTTCCAAGAACAAGTATTCCAAGAGGCCTGGATGAAAGCTACAAGGGTTCTGAATCATTTAAACTCTGAAATTCCATCTCACTTCCACCAAATTCTATTTAATATTTATTAAATGATTCACTAATCCAAGCCCAGATTCAAGGGAAGGGAAGTTAGACTTTACTTCTCAATGGGAAGAGCAGCAAAGAACTTGTGACCATCTTTAATCCACCACGGTTCACTTTGCATTACAAAGCCAACATATGGAAAAGAATCTATCAGAGGCAGTAGTAGTGGGATGACAGAAAAAGCTATGACGTGACACTTCAAGGAACTAGAGATCAACTCCCGGTAGTTAAGGGCAAAGGCCAGACCTCACTTTGGGAAAGGTTAATTTTTCACTATGTGGGCCACCTCCTGGTCTCTGTCCAAGGCTCTCTTACAGCAAAAGATCATATCTGTCTAGGAACCTACATTTAGTATAGCATTTACAGGACAGACAGAGCAATAGCATCATGTGAATATACCTGGCATATGGAGAACCCAGTGTGGAGTAGAGATTGATTTAAAGAAACAGCAAATTCATACTATAATGCCATTCCATACACTTTCATATTTTTGTATTGTTAATTATTCAGTTTCCTCCTTGGCCTACTGACATCACTTTGGGTTAGGCTAAGTCTTCACTACACACACTATTTCTGAGTCAGGTTATACAGCCATATGGTGGATAA